ACAAACTACAGTACTAGTAAGAACTTTGACTGGTTGTAAATTCAAACTCTTTATGCAATAGGCACGAGGAACATGAACCATATCATCGCCACTCAATGCGCTCAAGTGGAAACCAACAGAGCTTGCGTCAATCAACGACGTTACAACCAGCCTCATAAGTTCTAACGATACAGACGAAAACTCTATTCCATATTCACATAACAAATCTTCCTGTACCAAGGATACATCTGACCCACTATCCAGCAACGCTCAAGTTTCGACGGATCTCAGAGCACCTTGTAGACGCACAGTCGTATTACCTTTCTTGAACAAGAGACAACACAACAGCTGCTCGTTTTTAGCATCGGGTCCACATTGCGCTCCAGATGTAGTAGTGGGTGATGACGACCGCTGCAACCCGAGTGGTTACATCTGTCATCCGATGTGCAAGTAGAAGCCAAGTGACAACTGCCGAGACATTTATCCCTTCTTCTGTTTTATTAATTCCCATCCATCAGGCATCCTGGAAGTTAGACATTCTCGGCAAATCGCAGTACCATGTTGGTCACCACAAACAAGGCAAGCTGAATTCGTTTCCACTCTGAAGTTAGCACACTGATTGACGCTAGCCTCATTCTTACTGCGTACTGAGATAGGCGGATTTCGGGAACAAGATGGGCTTAACTCAGGCATTGATGCTATCTGTCCGAAACTACTGCGCATAATGCGTGCTTCAGAAAAACCGAACTCAGACAGGTCTTTGAACGTGATTTCTCTTTCTTCTTGCAAGATGGTATCGGCTGTGTGCGCCCACTTGTTCTCATACTCGTAGGCAAGATTTGCACAATTCTTTCGACAGTCGTAATCGAGTCCAGGTCAGCGAGAAACCACGTATGGTTCAACGCTGTGACAATTATCCATCTTTAGGGAAAGACAAGCGGCAAGCGGCCTTAGATCCGTTAGTAATTCATCAATAAGTGATCTGGTGACCACATGATTCTAACCAAATAAATCATGAGGGAACGTTCTAGATCGAATGTAAGCCTGGTCCAGAGGCAATATAACACACGCTTCGATAGCTTCCTTCGCCTTCCACAGTACAACAAATATAGGAGTCGTTGCCCATTATCTTGAACCCACTTGGGAACGAAGTACCCGTATTGCTTCATGAACTTCCAATACATGGCAGGATAAACATCAAAATATTCAAGTTCCACCATGGGTAGGTCCAGTTGACAACCAACCACAAAGGGCTGATCAACGACAACAGGCAATGGATTGTACTCATTTGAAGAAGTTCATTTCCTTCGATAGTATTACTATGTCGTTCGCAACTTTCCTTTACGGTGGATTCAAGCAACGCATAAGACTCCCGGATCAATTCAGAATTCAAGGCCAGAAGTGCGCTGCGGTGCCATTTTTACAAAGGGTTAAGGCAACAAAGCATATACTGACCTTGACGATATCCATCATAAAATGTACCACAGCTCTGTTCTCAAATTAAAACCGGAAGTCCAAAAAGACCAAACGTCGGCAACAGTTAACTGAAGTTCAACCGGTTACACACTCGACTAAGCAATTTAGTCAGAGGCGCTTGAAAGCAAAACGATCATCTTCCAAACAATCAAACGGTAAAAATGTCAGCTGATGGGAGTCCGAGGCATCGAAACAAGGGGATTAGGGATGAGACATATGGCATGGTTCCATGGAATTCGACAGACTGTGAGTTGTTCGTTACATTACTGCCTTGCAAGCGTTTTGACAACCTGTGGATAGGCTGTTCCAGTCGACAGGATGCGATTTCAAGCCTAGTAACATTCTTGTATTTCACCTCACGAGATCAAATGATGGGGCTTACAAAAAGCGAGTAAGTATTTCAATGAAATTCCTGCTACAGCACGGCACATACAAGAAAGTCTTCCTTTTCCGCGGAGTAAAGAGCCACATGTAGTATGAAGATAAAGTCCAAAAGAACTCAGAAGCCCTCGTTTGTAACAGAAAGTTGCAGAGAGCAGGTACTTGTGAAAGGTCTTACCATATATATATATATATATATATATATATATATATATATATTAATCTTTGTTATAATAATAGATGTACGACAATGGGATTAAATTGGGCACCGATTGCTTAATCTGATGATATCTCATTCCCCTGGGTAAAAGAGACCCAATAAGGTTAAGTGGGTATAAGAATAGGTGGCAGCGCCAAACAAAAGATGATTTATTGTACATATCTGGAGAAAATCATTGAGGGATTAGTCTTGTTTCTTTTGCCTCAAAACTTCTCACGGGTATCATTCTTCGACGACTTATTGGTCCCCGTGAGGAGTGAATCACTGAAATCCAGGCTCGTTTCCGCCCTGATCGTGGTTGTATCGAGCACATATTTACTCTTCGCCAAATGTTAGAGCGGAGACACACAACCGACTATGGTGGTTTTCCTTAACTTAGAAGCCGCCTTCGACACCGCTGACCGCACCACCTTGTGGCACTGAATATCCATGAAGGGCGTGCCAGCTAAACTCCTTTCTATTCTGAAGTCCCTCTATCGTGATTACGGAGGACGCGTAAGGTGTCAGCAGTACGCCGGTACGCAGTACCGACACTTCGCTGCCGAGCAACCACCACCGGTCGCACGTGGGCTAAGGATACTGCGAGGGTGGCCCTGCCCCTACGCAGGCTCGAACTCGCGCCGCAAGATTATGAAACAAGCTCGTTGCCTCTAGGCTACGGGCCGTAAGAGTTTACGGGAAACTCTCTTCTGAGTTCCCACGACAAGTGGGGTTGGCCAGGGTTGTTTTATCTCTTCTTTTCTCCCCAAGTTTGCGATCGAAATGAGCATGAATGACTCGGTTCATTCAGACTATTCCGGAGTGGAGGTTCCGCCATGTGACCGACTAACAAACATGGAATCTACATACGACATTCTGATGCGTTGGCTATGCAAACATTACTGCACAGACTTATGCGTGGAGCCCCAGGGTTCGGCACGTACTTTGCAGTATCAAAGTGCAAAGTGCTGTTTCAGGATTAGGCCGACACACCACCGGTTCTAGCTACCATTGAAAAGCCACTGGAAGTGTTGGATCAGTTCACTTACCTTGGTATCTGTGTCACCCCTGATGTCAAGATCACTAAGGAAATTACTTTGAGTATCAGCAAGGCCCGTGCGGCATTCCAGAGGCTCAATCATTTACGGAGACGGCGGGATATCAGCCTATCAGTTAAAGGTCGGGTGCATAACGCTGCGGTAAGGCCGGTGTTGCTATATGGATCAGAGACGTGATCAGTTCGCCGCGAAGACATTAAACGCTTGGCCGTGTTTGACCACCGGTGCTTGTGAAGTATTCCTCACGTTTGGTGGGAACACGGGATCAGCAAAGCCGAGGTCTGCCGGTTGGTTTTTGGCAAGAAGCCTTCTGTTGTCTCTCTCGAGGGTTGACTGAATCCTAATCGCTTGTGTTGGCTAGGCCACGTCTTTCGCATGCCCGTTGAGCAGCTTCCTCGGCGTGCATTATACGCCGTGCCTGCACCAGGTTGGGCGAAACCTCGAAGTGGCCAGTCCATGACATGGCCTAGAATCTTGAAGAAACTGACTGAGAGACTTGTTCAGGCTGGTGCATGCCGTCTTCGTGGATGGGGGCCTCGGGACGGTGCACACCAATGGTTGGAGACCATGTTAAACATAGTGGAGCCATGAAGTCAGTAGTGTTCCGGTATTCTGTTTCATTCATCTGGTTGTTGATTTTCGTTCCATTCTGATTACTCTAACGCATTTCCTTCTTGCCTTCATTTGGTCTACATTCTATTTGCACCCAACCTCACCATCCTACTGGCGTTATTTATGGTTATTTTTACGATGTGAATCGTGGCAACTGGATCCACCCCCCTTCGGTGCTCGGATCATATTTGTCCAACTGAAATGAACTATCGGGAGAGAATTATCGAAAAAAACATCCTCGAAACTGGCTCTCAATTGACCTAAGCATAGTGATGGGAGCAGGGAATAGGGTTTATCGAACACTGGTGCTTAGATCCCAGATCTCTCATCACAAACGCATACGACAATACATCACTGGGGCACAGGAAAATAGCATGCTGGTAAACAATGATGATGAGCGACGGGGAGATTTTGAGTCATCATACACGGTTTACGGACGAACAACTCACTTCAACCGCTTCGAATCAGCAATGTGTTTCCAAATGGCCAACATTCGTTGGGTCAATTCATGCACTGCAGCCTCCGCTTCTGACCCTTCCGCGCCGAGGCAACTAGCTACCTTCTTGATGAGCAGGGCCTGTTCGAGTCCGTTCCAGAGTTCATGCAAGCGACATGAGGGAGCCAAATTAGCGGCGGCTCGTATCATAGCGAAACGATGGGCTGAACGGGGAAAGAGAACGTACCATTAGTTACCGGAATAGTATGACTACGAAAAGATACGAATGCAACCCATGTTAGGGGTTTACAAACCCACATGAGCACATGACTCAATGCTGAGAAATACCAGCGGCGGTTGCGGAGTCATAAACCCTGGTGGCATAAACATAACTGTAAGCGAGGTCAGGAAGAAAGAACGGGAGATTTTGAAATGATTGCAGATTTTTGCACAACATAACGTGCATGGTACAACAGAAATATCAACAGCAGGCCGGCACATCGTACCGACGCTTCGATGCCACGCGAGCATCAGCAGTCACATGAGGGTTGGGTGCACCGCGTCGTCGCACGCACCTACGAGTATACGAACAGGTGACTTCCGGATAACATGACAAGCGTGTAATCTTTTCGGCTACCGATTGGATTTATAGCATACTACATCTGGCTAAATTGAGTTTGCCATTTTGATTATGTTATTCATTGCTTTTGGCAAAATGATTTTCTGGTTTTTACATTCCACTGATGTACAACCTGATTAGTTCAGGTCCTTTAGTGTTTTTGGCCATTGTTGTCGCGCCATGTATTTATTAGGCCGATTTACGTGGGCTGAGTGAAAATCAAGAATAAATAACTTACACTTAAAATAGGTCTTTTTACGCAGGATAAATTGCATTAGACTTTAATTGGTTTGTTCTGTTGACCTGAATAACTTCGATTAACTTGCACACGTTGCTTTCGATAATTGTGGTTAACTTCGATAACTTTTATGCGTTTGCAGAATTTTTGAGTAACTTGTGAATATTTTGTACTTATAGCGGATTCGTTGCTAAATAAATTACTTATATATATATATATATATATATATATATATATATATATATATATATATATATATATATATATATATATATATATATATATAAAGAACAGCCTGGTGCCAGAGCAATCCATACAGTGGTTAGTTCATACAAACATTGCACCTACGTGGAGTGCATACAAAGAGTCCATGCCAGCACGGGCTCGAAGACGTCGTTCACATCAAGTACTGTGCGATGTGTTCAGTCGAAAGTGAGTGCAAATGGTAGCGAGCAGTGATGAGTCGTCAAACAACTGGCATTGAGTGAGAAGAGGAAGCCAGTCAAACGATAGCTAATAATCTGTTCGAATCACTGGCAGCTGGTAGATGTACTTAAGGAGCGGTGATAATCTTGTATTCCAAAAGAAGGACTAATAATTTAATTCCCCTCGGATCGAAGGAACACACAAAGCTGATAAATAATAAAATAGTGAGAGCTATCCAATGATCTATCAGATTGTCTAGCAGAAGTCTGGATAGGGGTGCTTTCGGAGAAATCCACCCATTTCGATCCCAAGCATCAAAGTAAAGCATCACCTACCGGATGGAAACAACCATTCCAATTTTACATAAGCAAATGTTCAAAAAGAAGTTGTAACAAACTTAAGGAAATAAACAATGAGGAAAACCTGTTTCTTCATGAGAGGCATACAACGCAAAAAAGAAACAAGAAAATTGGCCCTAATATACAGCTGCTTGCCATGCATGAAGTTTCCCGTACATCCTGAAATCAATGTCTAGACCAACGGAGATGTACGGAATATAATCGTATGTGATGCGTTTACTAGAAAAGAGCACCTGGTAGGGAAGTGGGCGAAATCGTGTCATTACCAGTACATCGGTATGCTGTATCACGGTGCCACGCGACCAGCATCAGTCTCATTACGGCCCGCACCTATGCGGATTGAAATCGGTTAACCGTTGGAGCATTTTGTCCACCTTCGAGGTGCGTGAACGGTCGGGCCAAACTCCCCCAGGCGTCCAACCAGGTGGACCTAGGTGTCGTCCACTCCTCGGCTTTACACTAGAGGAAGGCCGCATGTTGTGGTTAATACGCCGTTCTTTTGAAGCCCTAACAGCCGACATCATTGTGACAATTTTCTCAGTTTTCCTTCGGCCCCATCTTGAATAATGCGTCCAGGCAGGTCAGACCTGCTCCATCCGGGACAATATGGAGCTCGAGAGGGTTGGACAAGTTGCTACTATGTTGGTTGGAGGTTAGGCACCTCGAGCGCCTACTTAGTTTGGAGATGTATTCAATGCACTACCGAAGGCTTAGAGGATACCTTATCCTCCCTTACCGTATGTTGTCCTTGTAAGCACAACAGCAACTCAGTAGAGTAAACAGATGCATGGACACTTCGAACACGTAATAGCGGTTGGAACGATGGGACTGGGAAGGCTGGACAGGACTTGTCTTGGCTATTTAGTCTGGCCAAGTTATCTGGCCTCCGCGGTCATCCTATGAAATTCCACAAATCGTGATCTGGTCAGATTAGGGCGGAACTCGGTTATCGCGTAGAGTTATCGAGCACTGGTACTCGCATCCAGAAAATGTGGTCAGAGAACCTAGGGTTAAGTGTTTTAAGCGTCAATTAGACGCTCTTGATTCGCAACACGAAACCTTCCTATTTTCTTAACGATAACCATCTTCATACTGTGATATTATTTTCTGTAGTTTGGTTCATTCATTGGTGTAATCCTGTCTTCAAAGGACTTATTCTCTAACTTCTTTTATTGCTTATGTTTTGCTTAGTTCACTTGACCGACACAGCAGAGAATGCAAGTTCATGAGACGTGAGAGTAACTGGCAGACCCTGATGTGGTTCAGGTATTTCGTTTTAGATCTTACAGGACACCAGAGTAGATTATAAATTCATGGTCCAACGATCTCTTCAAGAAGGAACACATATGGCATTCGCCTGTCGTTCCAGTCCTCTTTGTACTTGAAATCGGATTACGAAGTAGATGCCTTATCTGCTCAAGTACCGACCGATGAGGAGAAGCACGCGATGCTTGATAAAGAACGGACAAGTTAGTCACATCTCAACCGCCCAGTAGTGCTTGTAATTACGAGGAAGAATAATACTTTGTGCGGCTGGTCACTTTCGATAGCGTCGATCGCACCACGTTAAAACGTTGATTAAATGCGAAGAGTATAAACAGCTTTAAACATAAAACGTAATCAGCAACCTTGGTAACGAGTTCTAACTGATCTGAGATTGCAAGATGTGAGGCGCAACAGAGTGCCTACTACACAGTGGGCGGTTGTGTTTTGGGCCACTGAGAGTGTCAATGGTGTTGAACCAGTGAGGTAAGGACCCTCGGCTCCTCAGGGAAACCGAATGAGTAGTCGGCATGTGGTGCTGGTGGCGGTGGATTGGTTACAACTGTAAAGTACCTCAATAAGCTCGCTTCATTGCTTCTGCGAACAGCCACATGTTCTGCAAGACCGCCAACTCAGAGTTGTGTGTGACCAAAACTTCTCCATTCGGTGCTACCAGAAAGAAGCAAGCACACAGAATTTGTTAAACTGGGGGCTATATGTATCGTCCTAACACTTCGTTATCTCGTACTATCGTAGTGAATACCATGGACAACAGAAAACCCAAAACGTAAAGCAAAGAAAAAGAAATCTGTACTCTCGTATCATCAGCGTGAGATCGGACGAAAAATGAAAGGTCCGTGCTGTGGTAACGTCGAAACTTAGACTGTTACTAAGAGAAATTGTGGGAATTGGATCGTTCGTTTGGATCGTCAGTAAAGTTAACGCTTACGGATACTGAAAGCACAGCTATATCATCTGGATAATCAGAAAAATAACGGGTGCCAAACAAACAGCATACCCGAATCAGCCATCGCGTTGGCAGACCAATCACCAGACGCAGACATCAAAATAAGAGTCATCAGGCGCTGTCTGTCAGACCATGTGGGCGAACGGAAGAGCTTTGTCCACAGTTCAAAGAACTTTGGCAATTTGTCTTCCAAGCAATAGCCGGAGAGATGCACGCCCAGCAAAGCGTCGTCGGTGGAGGGTCCGTGTGTCGCGTCTGTGTGCACTGCCGGAGTGACATGAGGTGATACGCTGAGTCCACCGGTGTTCAACTCAATCGCTTGGTCCATCTCCAAATAAGACAGCTCCTCGGCTCCCAACCTACGGGGAGAGGAGACATCATCATCATCATCATTATCCACGTTAGCTAGAGGTGTAAAACACCACAACTATTGTGCCGCAGCACATAAAGGAAAAGGAAAATAAATACAGCAGTTGTATACCAGCTGAGCTACCAGCAACGGATAAGCATCGTTCCGGAAAGCTATCAGCCGGCTACTAGGAAACGAAAAAAACTATCATGTAAAATTACATAACGCTACGAAATGAGATGGTGGTTGAAGGGGGAGGCTAAAAGGGATGAGCGGGGAAAAACAAACTCACAGCAGGAACTCCACTGAGTTCGGCTCCTTGCCATGTCAGACGTGTTCATCGTCTTTTGGACCCCAACCAGGGAGCCGTGAAGCTCCAACCGAGGCCAACTCCGAAGTGAGGGCCTTCATTCCTCTCGACCAAGTCATCGCTTGGCCACCTCTCCTCTTCTTCCATCCACACTATCGGCGCGCAAAAAATGCACGTCGCGGGAATCGGTGGGTTGGCATGCGTAACACGTTGCCCAGCCATCGGAGCCTGGTGCGTGAAATGACGGTGCTAAGCGGTTCAGTTCCTTTTTCTTTTCCGTAAACAAGACGTCGAATATGCTCGTTACTCACGCGGTGTTCCCACCTAATGTGAGTCAAACTGCGAAGGCAGCGATGGTTGAACCTAACTAGCCTCTCTATGTCCGCCGACCTTAGGGGCCAGGTTTCGCAACCGTACAGTAGGGTCGAACGTACCGCTGCATTGTACACTCTACCCTTCAGGACGAGAGTAATGTCGCGCCGCCGCCACAGGTGGCGAAGACTAGCAAAAGCACTTCGAGCTTTTGCCATACGGTTCGTGATCTTATCTTCAATCCGACGGACTCCGATACAAATTCCCAAGTAGCTGAATTCCTGAACGACTTCTAGCTGATCCCTACCAAGGGTTAGCGCAGGAGGTGATCCCTGCCAATCTTGGAGGAAAGCTTTGCATTTCGATGGTGTAAAGCAAAGCGCGGAACGGCTGACAGTCAGTGCTAATCTGTCCAGTGCCGCTCAGTCCGTCTAGGAGCTGTTACGGATGAGGGCCACATCGTCAGCATACTCCAAGTCAAGAAGTCGTTCTCCTGAGAGTAGCTCTACAACTTCTAAGTCGTGTCCTGTGAGTGCGATTTCTATGACTTCCTCAATATTGAACTTGAACAAGAAAGATGACCGCGGGCATCCTTGTCTCACACCGCTGGAGATATTGAAGGGCGGCGACAGCTTGCCGTAAGCCCTCACTCTGCCCGTGCTACGCGAGCATATTGCTCGGATAATATTTACATATTTCTGGGGCACACCTTTCCTGAATAGACAATTCCAAAGGGCACATCGACCAACCAAATCGAAGGCACCTTTGATGTCGAGGAACATGACTACGGTAGGCCGCCAATATATATGACGGTGCTCCAACAGTTGACGCAAGGTGAAGATGTGGTCAATGCAGCCACGACCCCGACGAAACCCGGCTTCCTCCTCACGAATTTGGCTTTCACGAGCGCCAGTCAGTCTGTGAAGAATTATGGAGGCAAGTAATTTGGAAGCGATGGAGATCAGACTGATTCCTCTATGGTTGCCGCATTCCGAACGCGAGCCTCCTTTAAAGATGGGAACAATAAAGGAGCGGCACCATCCGGTTGGGACAGTTCCCCCCTCCCACAATTTCACTAGTAATTCATGTAAATCATCAACAAGAGCAGATCCCCCGAATTTGAAGGGAACTGAATGAAGTTCATCTAGTCTCGCGGCTTTGTTCAACTTCAACAGTCCGATCTCACGTTTGACTTCTGAGCGAAAGGGCGGATCCAAAGGGACAGCCCACGAAGCAGGGCGATCACTTGCCGATGTAGAATCGAACAATTTCGGTCGATTAACTTGCTTTTCAAATTACTCAGCCAAACGCTTCAAACTTTTTGACAAACTATGGAAAGACCGTCCACTTTCAACACAAATTGTTTCACTATCATCAGGTCTCCTGCTACCCGTTTCCCCTATCAGACGGAATAAGTTTCGGTGGTTACCAAGGGCAGCGGCCACTTCCATCTCTGACGCAGGAAGAGACCACCAAGATTCGCGGTCTCTCTTCAGGCTAGCACGGAGTCTTGCCCGGAGCTCTTTGCGAGTTTCATTGTGTTCACTTGCATCCGTGATACGCCGGCGAGCATCGATAGATTCCGGTGACGCGAAGAGACCCAATGACCATGTTGGCGATTAGATTTACCACATGAGAACTTGCCTGCTGCTAGTAAGGTCTGGCGAACATGTGAACAGTGACCATCAATTGTCTCCAGTAACCGTTTACTCAACTCGCATGTCAGTGTACTTTGATACGCATTCAGAACAGCTGGTTTTGTCAGTTGGCTGGTGTCAATGCGCTCACAGCGTCGTCGTGGGCATCCGGCAAAACGCATCCGCATGTCAGCACATACAAGTGTATGGTCGGTGTCCACACATGTGCTCCAAATCAAGTGACAGCTCTGAATGCAGCCTCTCCAGCGGTAACTGCTTGCAATGTGATCGATCTGCGTCCATAGCTGGTTCGAGGCTGGTGGACGCCAAGTCACCCTCCGGCTGGTGCTGTGTCGGAAGTTAGTGCTCGCAAGAAATAGGCGGGCGTCCTCACACAAATGAAGTAACCGCTCACCGTTATCATTACGGGAGCCTACACCGTGCTGACCGCTCAGATGCATTTCATCAGTGGACAACTTTCCAACTTGTGCGTTCAGATCCCCAGCCAGCACAACAGTGTCCGTGCTTCTTCTGTTGCGAAAGAGCGGAGTCAGTTGGCGGTAAAAGTCGTCTTTTACTGAATCATCGCTACAGTTTGTGGGCGCGTAGGCAGCGATGATGAATAGACATCTATTAGTCCCGTGCGACTTCGAAGCTTTAAACGAGCCAACCAATCGGACCACACATATCTGGCTACTGATTGGAATCCAATCAACCAGAGCAACTTCAGCCCGGGGACTCAGGGCAATGCCAACACCAGCTTGGCCGGTGCTCGAAGCTGTATCGTCACCGGATAGGCGCAATAAGAAAATACTGCTTGCGTCACCTGAAGAGAATCGCAGAGTAAGCACTGAGCTCGAGTCTTGCAGGCGGGTCTCCGATAAGCAGCAGATATCGATCGAGAGGGTCTCCAATGTTCGGGCAAATGATACCTGTTGACCGATCCGTTGTAAATTGCGTACATTGAGGCATGCCAATCTAAGAGAGAATCGAGGGATCCAAATGGAAGCCGATGAACTGGAGTGGACCGCTTGGTTGGACATGGGCTTGTCGACAAGACAGGAGTGACGCTCCGCGTTAGCATGTGAGTTGAAACTAGAAGATAAATGTCTAGTAAAGCATGTTGGGGGAGGGTCAAGAAATGGGGGTTGAAGACTGGGGGGGAAAAGTGAATCTGGAACAGGACCAAAAGGGGAGAAAAAGCGTAAGAGGGGGGAAAAGATGACGGGAAGGCTTGAGCAGTAGCATCCAAACCCCTATCCACCCTGCTCGATGCAGCAGATAGGGCACCGTTGATTATCCTCTGCGGTGGCCAGAGTATCAGGAATTTGTTTGAAGAGAGATTCATTGTACTGCGTGGGCAGGATACTGTCAGGTTGCTCAGGCCTTGACAGGAGAACGATTAGGGTTCTCAACCAAAGCCTTTGGTTCAAAAACCTGACCGCAAGGCAGCGGGTTTGGCGTTGGGCTACAAGGAGTACGTTTTAAAGAATAAGGTGCCACCGTCATTCCAACTCCCAACCTGGGGGACCAGGAGGCTGAGTTTGTCTGGCCTCTAACCATTGACTAATCTGAAGGTGCAAAAAAGCACCACCCAGTATAGCTCAATGGATCACTGAGGCACACAAACCATCGCACCACAGTAAGGTCCAAGCTCATCGCGATGGAGAGAGGGAGAGGAGACAAATAGAAGTAAATGAAGGAAACAGAGTAAGAATGGTTTTGTCTGGACTGCGACGTTATGAAGTTGTCGATTTCACCGTGACGCTCTGATTGGCCAATTGTAACCTGGTAATGAAAGTGTTTTCGACGTCTCAATAGGACGGGTTATTTTTATGTTAGTCTACCCTCCCTTTAGAACGATTAGAAGACCAACATGGAAACAAACAGAAACGTGCCACCGGGTGTGCCCTGAGCAAAGTGGACGTTTTTCGTATTTTCTTTCGTATTTAGCACGATCTCTGCCACCAGTGTGCTACCATGATCAGACTGAATTTGATGACCTATGCCTTCATAAAAGTCCTAAAGTGTGATGGTAAAATCGCACAATGAGGATAACCTTAACGAAGGATATTCAAGCTAGACAAACTCAGCTTATCGCTGAGCTTCATGAGTTCAAAGTACATGCTTTGATGGTTTGGATACACGATTCACAAGCTAGGTTCAGCGGATAATCCGTTGTATCCTCCTTGGGAGCTCTAAGGCTGACTGAGAGCGATAACAAGGTGACCAACGTATGGCTTAGACTCAAAATGCAGTAGCATTAAGTTAAAAGCAAGTTGATTACCCAAAGTTGAATTTAGTGAACACGCTGTCGGAATGACCGAGGTTTACCTCAAAATGAACCGAGGTCTCAATAGAGGTTGCGAGTCGCAACCCAACCACACAGCATATTCACTAAATTCAACTTTGAATTGCTTTCCGCTGTGCCAAGCGTTGCTCGCGGATCTCAGTTGTATAGTGTTCAGTGCGTCAGCCATGAACTACTAGGCTCTGAGTTCCACCCCAGCTCAGGCTATCTCCACCTGAGGAGTCCAAACCAGGACGAAACCGCGGTCGTGGTGTGCCAATGTTGGGAAGAGCAACACCCAAATATTTCCATCCAAGTTGATTACCGGTTATCCGGTCGACAACCCAGAGACAGTAGGATAGGAACACTTTCGGATATTATTAACAACCGCAGTCAATGGTGAATACACACATACACACGTTAGGGATAACATGCAACACTATCTGAACAAGGTGCCAGCAATCATAGACAAACAAAAACGACAAAATACACTGTTGAACGCAATGTGCGATCAAAAAGTCTGCACCGCTTCGGATAAGAGTAACATGCATTCAAGTTTATTCATGGTCAGATACAGTTATCTATGGACTAAACTGCCAATCACACTTAAGTCATGTAGCAATGCAGCAACATTTGGAAGCAAATCCTCCAGGTACCGGGACCTAAATGTGGGGAAAAGCTCTCGATGAGCTATTTCAAGAGAGACCGAAAGAACTCAGAAACATTCATGCTTCCAAACCGTGGGGTTTCGCCTCAACCATGCACCAAAAAACAAGTACGTAAATCGCAAGCCGTAACATTCTACCTACGTATATCGCCTATGCAAGAGCATGGTTACGCTTGAACAAATTGATCTCTGTTGCTACAGGTACAATTCCGCGGATAAGGAGAAATATACGTATTATTATTATTATTGCTGTCGTCGGCGTTGTTGTTGTTGCTGTTGTCACCGTGGCGAAGTAAAGAGACCTACTTTAATGAAGTTGCGCGCGGCAATGCTGGGCAACTATGAAATACTTCAAAGTGACTAAATTATCAGGTGTATTATAACGCGGCGGAGGATCCAGTAATTTCCACCTTACTACCGTCGTTATCGTCTCCGACTGGTAACAGTCGAGTTGCGGATTAAAGGTCTACAGAGATCCGATGGAATTCGAACTGCTGATGATCGCTTAAGTGAAGAAATGGTTGTATAATGATTTTCCGGAAGTGTGATAAGTGTCCGACTGAGTCTAGATGCGAGGAACTGCTATGTATGCTTTAAATTTTATCAACAGCTTATGGTGAATATCGTGTTCATGTAGGAAACAATGCTAGTTTGTGTTGTGAGGCGCTCACTGTAAGTTAGCGTGTTCATAAACTGCTATCGGATTAAGAAGAATCAGCCAGATGTATCGCCCACAGGCACCTGATTTCATCGTGCACCAGGAAAAAATCAAAAGTCATAACTGTGATGAGTATTTCTCCATCTCCATAATAATCAAGTGACATGGCGTAGCTGCGAAGAATCGGTGACACTATAAAGCCCCATTGCTAGGCGGATAGAGATGAACCCCACAGAGACCATCCAGACTCCAGCTTCAAACAAATAACCTTACCCGTATGAGTAAAGGAGGGACAAACAAACACTGCTACATATCTTCCTGACGTTGTTAGTAAACTGTTCAAAAGGAAAGTGACGCAAATAGTTCACGTACGCGACTCAATAAAATCAAGAGAGAGCCCACCTGGGAAACAATTCACAAAAGAGCGGAACGTAAATGAGTAGATCTGAGGACAAATTCTTCAAGTCGGCCAAAGCGTGAAAATAAAACACGCCATTTGTCGGGGCTTCATTCAGTTGTACAGGGCAACCGTTGACTGTGTGATGGGTAGAAAAGATATAGACAGGCATGAAAGAATGGCTTGCGGTGAGTCAAATGAAGCAAGCCACTCAAAGGGTAGAGGGCTAAACTAGTCAACCTGATGGAAGGTACGAATGCCAAAGAGATTGCAGGACACAGAATGCCTAAAAAGAAAGAAATTATGGGGTGACGAGAAATAAGTTGATGCTACTTGGGAGAAAGGGATAAAAAGGGAAGCTGATTTTCACTAGTGAATTCCAAAACGGTAATTCACCACGTGTTGGCACCTCTGCGCCAAAGACAATAGCATGGAGGCGTACAAAGCAACGAAAATGTGCAACTCATCACACTGCTGTGTGAGGGGTAAAAAGAATGATCATAGGACCACGGCCGTGGGGGTCTGAGAGAAGGCTGGCCAGATAATCGGGACGTCCTCGACTGAACGGAATATGGAAGCACCAAAGGACATTTTCACCGGGTATATTGAACCAAGATGTGACAAAATTAAGCGCAACATACATTTGGCCGGATTTTACGGTAAGCAGTGTATACCATGAGCGAAGTTTACGGGTGCAGTGTTCTCAGGCTGGGAAAAGTATTACAGAGAAACCATGTCGTCAAAGTTGTCAGACGCTTGAACAATGAAGTAAAAGTTGCGTAAAGATCAGACGAGAAATAACCTGGATAATAAAAAACAGTTAGAGCAAGCAAGTTCAACAGTATCATGTGGGGTGTACCGTGAGATTACAAATGGCTATTGGTGTGTTCTGCGACCGAAGTTTTGCTTGGATATCCAAACGCACCACGACATTTGCTGCCCTGCACCAGCTAACGGTTTGATCGGAAATCTCATGACGTCGACTTAGTGATGCCGTGAGGAGGAATAAGCCGCATGGCCACAAGGGAGGTGCTCCGGCGATATTAGCTCACAATATGGTAACCAGCTGTCTGCGACCGTGTGTTATTAGCATGATATACGACTGCGTTCGAAGAAAATCCGAAATTTGGCTAAACATTTTTGTTGCTCAGTGGGAAACATGTTTACCACTGCCGCCCTCAAATCAGTTCCTACTACTGGCAATACACTGTTCTGAAGCGTGCTTCCATTTTTGGAAAGTCCTCCTGAAATGTACCTTCTGGGGTGGCGCGTAAGTCTTTTGTCGCATTGTTCTGTATCTACTGTATGGTTTGGAAACGACGCCAGTTCAGTGCGAGTATAAGTTTGGGAAACAGAAAATGGCCTACTGGGGCTAGGTCCGGAGAATACCGTGCATAAGAAACAGCGGAAGTTTAATACATCGCCAGATAGCTGCAAACAGGGAGAGATGTGTGAGTTGGCGCTTTTTCATGATACAAAACCCAAGTGTAGCTCTTCGGGTACGCAGTATCCCCCGAACGAGCCAGAGTTCCCTGGTATATTTCTGTGTTTGCAATCCGATCATGCGATACCTACTCCTGATGGGCAATGCCTTTCAGTCATAAGAGAAGATCGACATCACTTTGGCTTGGGATTTTCACCAACCGACATTTCATTGTTCCAAACGCTTAAACCACTCATATAGTACCCTTGGCTATACAACTGAAACAATCCTGTAAAAGCCTTTCCTAGTTTGTAGCAAACTCACACACACACACACACACAACGGTTGTACTTCAAGCTCTTGCACCGTTACTTTGACACGAATCCGACGAGAAGCTTGTGCACGTGCTCACTTTAATGGTTGTAGCTCGCCAAGTATTAGTCAGAAGGAAATACGGCAAATGGCAGTTTGCTGTTTGAACAAGCCTCTACGTGCGCTCGACAGCCGCAGTGCGCTCGGCATCGCAGTGCGCTCGTTGTGTATTCTGGTGCGCAATCTCAAAAGTTCGGTACAAGTAGTATGTGTTCTGACAGTGAAAAACCGGTTGGGATATTATAGGTTAACTCTAGGATCCCCTTCTCTGCTCATTTTCAAGATCAGTATAGTTTTTCGGTAGAGAAGAATTGGTAACGATTGCTGATATATTGCTGCCGAGCACGAGTATGGGATGGCAAACATCACAAACGATGGTTACTAGATAATGGATTAAAGTGGGAAAAAGCCTGAATCAGTAGATATAGTAAATAGCTTAACATTCCGCAAAACCGCGAGTTAATGGAGTAAAGGGTATCACACAACAGGAGTACCTTGAGTCAGCGTAAACGGTTCCCGACGACCGTCCGATGATATGTCCAGTAAGCGTAGACATGGAAGGCATGAGATATCCTCCTGCTGTTGTTGCTTCATCAGCAGCTCTCGGCCTAAAACGGAAGGTAACTGCGTGATCAGGAGCCAATAATGATAGATCATTTGTGACTGAAAATACCAGACAGATGTTGGGTTCATTTATTGAGTTCTCCGATAATAAAATGAGGAAATTCAGCGAGATATGTTACAACGCAACATTTTCATGACATTGCATGGAGGAAGAAAAATACGAAAGAAAACTAGACAACAGTAGACAAACCAGTTACTTAGCATACCTAATAGGCAGTGTAACGCGCAGAGCTGAGATAGCTGAACGGTAAAACGGCAGTTATTGGAGGATATCATTCGCCATTACATAAAGCCACCGCATCCCCTCTCCATCTCGATAGGCCATCGTAGTCCAGAGGATAGACGAGGGGTGTTACTGGCCAACGCTTAGCAACTAACAAAACCAAACGCGCATGAATAAACAAACGGCCACCGGCTCCCAATGGGAGCCATTCCTTGACTCCACTCCGCTGCTTTACGGGTGGGCTACTCATACATCAGCATTATTCACTTAAACTACATTTGCTTAACCTGTATAAAAAGTATTCCAGTTTATGTGATTTGCTCAGTTCTGTTATTCTGCCGCATACTCCGAGTCAAATTTGCGTGTTTATTTTCCTTCAAATTATGTTTTGGCTGTTTGAGACCACCAGTGTGGCTGGGCTGAATGTGAATGTTGGTAAACTGCCTAACGGTCGACAAACTGCTATCTCGATCGTTGGCTCAACAAAACTGTGGATCGCTGCTGGGGGAAACGAGGCACACTGTCTAGGTTAGAGTGTTAGGCTCCGGGTGTGGTTCCATGCATCGAGCATGGAGTTGAGTAGGGCCCATGCACCGCCTTGTGTATATCTGTTACGCATGAATCCACAATTAGACAGGATTGCTGCTGGTGGTTCGGTGTTGCTCCTCCCAACCCTGACACCCCAACACCGGTTTCGTCCTCCTTTGGACTCATCAGATGGAGATAGCCTGAGCTGAGATGGACCTCGAGGCCTAGTGTTCAAAGGTTGACGCCTTGACCACTATGGCTCTAAGATCCGCGAGCAAGGGGACCGAGGTCTGAATACAGAGTGCGAGTCGCAATCCAACCATACAGTGAGTACACCAAATACCACTTGGAATACTTTACTGCTGTGCCAAACGTTGATCGCGGATCTTACAGCCATAGTGGTCAAAGCGTCAACCTTTGAACACTAGGCCTCAAGGTCCCCCGCAGCTCAGGCTATCTCCATCTGATGAGTCCAAAGGAGGACGAAACCGGTGAGGAAGTGTCAGGGTTGGAAGGAGCAACACCGAACCACCAATTTAGTTACGGTACTTGTGATCGTAATAACCGAGGTCTACTTCAAAGGGGAGCAAGGTCTGAATAAAGATTGCAAGTCACAATCCAAGAACACAGCAGGTACACCAAATGCCACTTAGGATTGCTGTTATTGTGTATGATGAAGGAGTGTGGGCCCGCCCCGCTGATGAAACATACCACCTGTCCACACGCTTACCGATCTTATACCTTCAAGTCTACATTGGATATCGGGTGTGTGCATAAAGTGCCGGGTAGTGCAGCGCAAGCCACCCATGGTCGTTCTGTAGGTGCAGGCGCCTAGTTGCTATTTGCAATCATGGTAACATGTGAATCAGAAATGGATGCCGCGGACCGTATGCATAGTTAAAGTTTGTTAGTTGAAACAGCACTGCAGAAGTGGGACAGGGGAGATACATCCGTTGAAAAGGACCATTTTAGCTCCAGAATAGCCGAATGAAGGTCGTGGTGGCAAACAAAACTGGACACACGGCACAACACCAACCACAGTAAGTGGATAAAGGCACGAGAGCAACGCATAAGAAGAGTATGGGGAGAACCGACACCCACATTTCTGCATTGGCTCGGTATGAAATATTTTGATGATAAAGTTTTAGTCTATCAATGGAGGTATAACGGCTTTGTTTGCTATTTTCACCGTCACTGCAATGGGAGTAAGGTGATTTTCTCTAAATCAAAGGGAATTCATGATCGAAATGAGCAGCAGTAAGCTTATACTCTAAATAGTTGGAAAAATGCAAACAGCGAAGGACACTTGCAAACAAGATCGAAAGAGGAAAACATATGATAAATAAAGAAAGGTTATTCTCGATTTACAGGAAACATGCCTGAACAGTCTATCAGGTGATAAAATGGATACATAAGCCTCCAGGTATTGACACCCTCAAAAGTGATAACTATGTAATACAATAAGAAATATTTGTCCAATATGATGGAAGAAATCGCTTTGCCAAACTAACAAGAAAAGTGAATGACGCTTGAAACTCCACAAAGCTTGAGTCAGCAAGCCCTCAAACTAATCTAGCAGTATCGGACGATATGGCCCAAAGAGAGATGTCATGAACATGTGTAGCCATGCGTACCGCACGTTGGAAATATGTAGGACGTCGGATGATTAAGCGCGCCACCGCCCATCCCCGTAGCCCAGTAGTACCAATCCCGGGTTCTAATCTTCACCGGGAAACCAGAACAAATAGTGCCGACGAGTCTTAAAAAGATGAAGCGACCGTCTAAAGTTATTTTCTCGGATGAGCAGTGGCTGTGATTTATGGTAGCGATAGGAAATCACCGCAAGCGATCCAAACTTTCATGCAGTAGTCTTCAAAGCCAAAGTGGGACGGTATATTTCGCTTTTCACACGCCTACTGATAGGGGGGATAGTAGCCAGCTGATAACCGATACAAGTGAATCGAACATAGCGGCAGTCCCAGCGACAGATGAGTAAAGCAGTCTACTAAATGGAGTTGCTCACATCCGAGAGTGCACTCCATGACTTTTAAGCCAGGTTACTAGTTGCCTTCAAAGTACAACGTCATCCCACACGTCTGACCATGAACTTCACTATCACCCATTGCTATACTGTAGTTCATGTGCAGGAGGCCCTCGACTATGCGAGGCGACCTGTCTGACCCACCCTCCAACTTATCGAGTGGCTCAATCACATCGCAACTGTATGGACTACCAAAAACACATAATAGCGGATTGTCACTCAGACCGATCCCCTCAGTGGTAAACGCGCCACAACATAAACTAGCTTGCTGGTTGCTGAAAGTACTATCCCCGGTAAGAAAATGATTTAATACCTATGGCCTCAGAGACTCGTTTGAACTGATAGATTTCGACAAAACGGACCTGTCCGATAAAGTGATGTGTTCCTTGGATGTAGAATCGTTGTTGACTAATGTCCCGCTGCGACAAAATGTTGACTACCTCTGTGAATTAGCAGAAAGTTCCGGATGTTCGCTACCCATAACGGTTGAAGTATTAAAAGAATCGTTGCTACAGTGTACGGAGAACGTCGAATTTCACTTCCGAAACACACTGTATCGTCAGATTGATGGGGTAGCTATGGGCAGTCCGCTGGGCGCAATATAAGTAGATTTCTTTATGATGATAATAGAATGAAGCATATCTGCAGAAATAGCTCAAGTACTATACTGTAAACGACATGTGGATACATCTTAGCTTGTTGATCTGAACAGCAGATTACAAAGTTGGTGACATATAAATGCTGCGCATACAAATCTGAGGGTCACTAGTGAAGTAAAGCGGCAGAACAGCCATCCTTATTTGGATGTCATCACCAGCCGCAGAGAAAACTGACAGGTTAAAGGGGCCGTCGACAGAAAAGCCACCTGGTCCGACAAGTACCTACCTTTTTCCAGCTTTAAACCAATGCGGCACAAACGGACGCTGGTGAACACCTAATTTAGTCGTGCCAGACGAATATGTTTAACCGATTGCCAGGCCGACGAACTGGAACTGATTACTAATACGCTAACTGCAAATGGATACTCTCGTAGGTTCATCGGAAAGCATAGTCAAATCAGCCGAAGTAAAGAGCCAGTGCCCATCGTGCGAAAAAGGGACACATTTTTAGATCTCCCTTTTAAGGGTGACATTGCCACAATGAGGAGTATCAGACGACTAATCGCGGTCACGCAGAGCACTTTCGGGGCTGCCAAAATAAAGTTCATGGACCGAACGAACAGGTTCCCGCTGCCTCCCAATGTGTGTACCAATCCGTATGTAGCTACGGGTTGGTCACATAGGCAGAACCGACAGCACTGTAAGTGCTCGGATGAAGGTGCCCGTTCCAAAGTGGATGCAACACGGGACGACTCAACAAGCATGCCAAGCTCAGTGCACACATTCACACAGACCGCCAGCATCTGCGATCGGCAGGCATTACTTGATTTCAGCTCACCCGATCGAGGTCAGCACGTCGTTCTAAGTTCCGCTGTGGCATACCAATTGCCGTCTCCACCAGTTCACTGATGCAGTTGCGATAAATCGGATCAAACCGGAGCTTTGTGTTCAACAGTAGATATCGGTTAGCCCCAGGTTGCCTTGGACATAGAGACGTGATTCTCATTTTTCCTTTGTTTGTTTGCACGTTTGCATCATTTGAGTTGTATTTCACTTCCGCTTATCGTTTTCGGCACTGAAGAGACGAGAGGAAATGCATGCATCTGCCGAACTCCATCTTCTCACTGTGATTTTCAAAGGGTTAAGAGGAACAAACTGCTTTAAATTACCCTATATTGTCGGCTGCCTTGACTGTTTCATGTGAATTGAGGTCTGGTCGATACACTGTCCGGTGTGGTGAAGTCTCTGTTCTCACGGCTCTACGCCCTATCAACTGCGATCATAACAATTGACCAGCTTCGTCCTGATTTGGACTCGTCAGGTGCAGATCGCCTGAAGTGAGAGGGGAAGCCGACACATTGGGTGACGGCTCACACCTTGGTCACGACGCCAGAAATCTGAGAGTAGCGCTTAACATAGCAGTTCGAAGTTCATTATTGGGTAATGGAGTTTGCCAAGTCACAAATGGATAAAATTACTTTGAAATAACATAAGCCAATGACAAGTACTGAAAAAAGCAAGTGAATAAACAAAAAGTCGCGGATAATTGGTTTCAAGGTGACGCACTTTTCGCGACCCAGCTATCGCGTTCGGAAGAGGAAAGGCCAGCAACGATGCACTCATGAAGTTGGGCATCTCGTGTAGACTCTTCCACGAGCCAATTCTCGTCTGGCCGCATCGTAGTTAGTAAAACGTGCTTATTGTCCTAAAGTGAACGGTAGATAAAAGATAGTATGTGGCTTGTGGCACACTTCAAGTAAACGCTTACATGTGTTCGAGGCATACGCTAATATTAACGAACAAAAAATAAAGTGGATTTCTCATCAAAGTAGCTGTAGCATCTCCGATGATTGCATCATCAAGTTAGTGCAAGCAACGATAGGACCAGTGAATTCCAAGAAACCTGTCCTTTGTGGAGACGGTTGGATACAAACAAGGAGAAGGAAGTATGAGGTTGCAGCAAGAGCATTGCTACAGTGTGGATAGGAGGTGTGGTAACTGCATGGTGAAGATATAAAAGGATACGATGCGCATGAAGAGCGACGTGTAAGAATTATCTCCGAAGCATGATGGGAGCAGAGAATAAGAAAGTCTACAGTTCGTCTTTTGGTGCATGACGGTACACTCTTCAGTGTTGCAGTGCAAATTCAGCTGAACACAAGTCGGCCGTACCGACCAAACTATGTGAATCGCATCGTACAGTACTTTTCACTAATGCTGGCCAGTTGGCAGATTAAAATGACGGTGTCCAACAGTAACGGATGGGCATCGTTCCGGAAAGTTGATAGCCGGCTATCGTGTCGCAAAGAGTTACAGTATGCCTAACGAATGAGATCGTGATTGGAGTGGAAGGCTAAGCAGGAGGGTTGGAAAAATGAACTCACAACACAAAAACCATTGGGGCCGGCTTCTAGCCACATCAGCAAGTGTGTCCAATCAAACGTGTTCATCGCCCTTAGAACCCCAACCAGGCAGTCGGAAAACACTAACCGACGCCAACTTCGAAGTGAGGGATTTTGGTTCTCTCCACCAAGTCATCGATTGGTCTCCCGTTCTCCTCTTATGACAGTTGGACGAGAAAGTTGAGAGCCGACGCTCGCGCGTTTACCACCAAGCGTGCTTGGGAAGGACTCTACGAGCATGTTACCAGGGCCCAGCCGAAATCCGATCAGACACCAGGCGTGTTGCCAAGGCCAGACCGGAAGCTGATGAAATCACGCGTCAGACATCACGTGCGTTGCCATGCGCCGGGTAGGCGAACGAAGACTGTAGTACCCGAGCAACACGGTGAATCGGACAGATGCAGCGGACAAGTAGGTGTGCAGCGTGGGCTTAGAGCCAAATCCGCCTGGTGATAGTGACATATAAATATGACCGTTCTTTGCCTTAATACAACTCTGGTCTGCTGAGTAGTCTTCTGTCTTCGTTCCGGTCGGGTTTGCCAAGGCGAAAATCAGAGCACGCGTGAAGGCGCAGATTTAGCAACAGGCGTGAATCAACCAGGCGAGAGCGAGCAGGCCGCGCAGCGTTACAACAGTGGCGACGCGAGTACAACCGAACCCAGGCATGGCAATTAGCTTTGAACAATTGCAGATGCTGTTGCAGCAACAACAGGCGCAGTTTGAAGCATCCCAAACCAAACTGATCGAGATGTTAACTCAGAAGATGACAGTGCAGTCAAGCCCAGGGTTAGCGACAAGTGAAGGTGCCCCGTCACCAGAAACCCTGACTCAGCAGATCAGTGAGTTTCATTATGACGCTGATGCTGGCATAACATTTGTTTCGTGGTTCCACAAGTATGAAGATATGTTCCGGGTTGATTTTGCTAACCTTACAGCAGAAAAGAAGATTCGACTAATGTTGCGGAAGCTGGGTGCTGCCGAACACGAGAAGTTCACCAATTTTATCTTACCCAAAAAGAGTACCGATTTGTCCTTCGACGAAGTGGTTGCAGTCCTGTCGCAGATTTTCGGAGAACAGACTTCTTTGTTCAACATCCGGTACAAGTGTCTGACAATAACCAAAAAAGAAGACGAAGACTGGGTGGACTATTCCAGCCGGGTGAATCGAGAGTGCGAACGGTCACAACTACACAACATGACAAGTGATCAGTTTAAATGCCTCATATACGTCTGTGGCCTACAAGCATCCAAAGACGCCGACATTCGAACACGAATACTGAACAAAATTGAGCAGAATCCGGATGTCACGTTGCAGCAAGTGACCGGTGAGTGCCAACGCATGACGAATCTGAAACACGATACTGCAATGATCCAGCAGTTGTCCAAGCAGAGCGAGCAAGATTTTGTCTGTGCAGTCAGCCGTACTCCCCGAAAAGAAGCTTCCCACGTGAGTTCAACGCATTCTAAACCTCCCACTGCATGCTGGTTTTGTAGAGAGTGGCATTTTGCCCGCGAGTGTCCATTCAAAACTCACACTTGCAACCGTTGCGGCAGAAAAGGGCATAAGGAGTCGTGTTGCCTGGCGACTCGTCCAATTCTGACCAAGAAGATGCGTAACAATGCCAGGCCGTTCCGGCGTCCCAATTTGACCAGATCTATCACCGCAACATTCAAGGTTGACGGGGCCAGCAAGCGCAAATACACAATTGTGAAAATCAACGGCTTCCAAGTCAAGTTACAAATTGACACGGCTTCTGATATCACCCTGATATCTCGAGACACTTGGTGCATGCTGGGGCGACCAACACTCATACAAACGGATCACACGGCACGGAATGCTTCAGGAGGTACGTTGAAATTGCTGGGTGAACTGAATTGTCAGGTAAACTTTCGCGATAAACAAATCCAGACGACATGTTTCGTGACAGACCAGCCGGGGTTAGATTTGTTGGGGCTCGACTGGATGGATGAACTGAAACTGCTTGATCAATCAGTGAACAGTATATGTTAGCCACCGCAAGTCAATCTGCTGTCACAACCGTCACCTTCAAGCCCGATGTTCCAAAGTCAGATTGCCGAGATAAAACGACGTCACGATGCATTGTTTCAACCTGGTCTCGGATGCTGCAACATAGCTACTGCCTCATTGAACCTTAAACCAGACGCCAAGCCAGTCTTTAGACCGAAACGCCCGGTGCCCTACGCAACCCAGTCTTTAGTGGAAGCCGAGTTAAATCGACTACAATCTGAAGGGATAATCGAACGAGTTCACTATACCGAATGGGCAGCACCTATCGTGGTGGTAAAGAAAGGAAACGGTAAAGTCCGTATTTGTGCTGATTTCTCGACAGGTTTGAATTCTGTGTTGGAAGATCATCAGTATCCCCTGCCGGTACCAGAAGACTTGTTCAGCAAACTCAATGGGGGGAAATGTTTCGCAAAACTTGACCTAGCTGATGCGTATTTGCAAATCCCAGTTGCCCATCAGTGCAGAACATTGCTGACAGTAAATACCCACCTCGGACTTTTTCAGTACAACCGGCTGCCGTTTGGAGTGAAAACCGCACCGGCCATTATTCAACAAATAATGGATACCCTGCTGAGCGATATCCCAAATACAGCAGTATACCTGGACGACGCGCTGATTATGGGCTCAGATCCGCAAGACTTGATACAGACACTGGAGAGAGTGCTTTCGCGTCTTCAGGAAGCTGGATTCCGATTACGGGCTGAAAAATGTGAGTTCCTATTAGAAAGTGTCAAATTTCTTGGGTTCATCATCGACAAACATGGCCGGTGCCCGGATCCCGCTAATATTGAAGCCATCAAAAAGATGAAGCCACCAGAAGACATTGCAGAGCTCCGCTCTTTTCTTGGGCTCGTTAGCCATTACAGTGCTTTCCTACCAAGCCTTCACCAAACCAGAGGACCGCTGAACCAGCTACTGATAAAAGACAAGGATTGGAAATGGACGAAGGAGTGCCAGCAGTCTTTTGATGCAGTCAAAGAAGCTCTCACTTCCGATCTACTCTTGACTCACTTCAATCCGAATTTCAAAATTGTCGTTGCTACGGATGCTTCAAATTATGGTGTCGGTGCAGTTATTTCCCACGTTTTTCCGCATGGAGGAGAGAAGGCTATCGCGCACGCAGCACGGTCACTAACGCCAGCTGAAAAGAACTATAGCCAGATAGAGAAGGAAGCGCTCGCGATTGTTTTCGCAATGAAACGGTTCCATAAGATGCTGTATGGCAGACATTTCACGCTCCTGACTGACCACAAGCCTCTTCTATCGATATTCGGTTCAAAGAAAAGAATTCCAGTTTTTACGGCAAACCGATTGCAACGATGGGCGACCATACTACTGGCCTACGACTTCAGTATACAGTATAAACCGACGCAACTAATCGGTCAAGCGGATGCCCTGTCTCGTCTCATCAGTTCACACCCAAAGGAGAATGATGATTGTGTGATTGCAGCTATCAGTTTCGAAGCAGAAGTCCAACGAATCCTGGCTGATAATGTGAGAAGACTACCAGTAACAGCCGACACTATTCGTATGGAGACATCACGGGACGGAATCTTGAAGAAAGCGATGCACTGTGTACGAACATATTGGCCAAATGGAGGCATACCTATGGAGTTGCGGCCGTTTTACCATCGACGTGCATCGCTATCAGCCGTGGACAATTGTCTGATGTTTGGAGATCGAGTGGTGGTGCCAAGGAAATTGCAGAGGCAAATATTGCAGCAGTTCCACACGGGGCACCCTGGTACCAGCCGCATGAAAGCCTTGGCACGCAGCTTTGTTTACTGGCCAGAAATGGATTCGGAAATTGAAAAATTCTGCCAACAGTGTGAATCTTGTCAATTTGCAGCGAAGGCTCCTCCCAAGTGTCAGTGGCAACCTTGGCCTAAGGCAGAGAAACCGTGGCAACAAATACACGTAGACTATGCAGGACCGATCAATGGCCAATCCTATCTCGTTTTGGTTGACTCATTCACCAAGTGGCCTGATGTGATTCCGGTAAACAATCCGACTGCACAGCACACTATCAACGAGCTGGAGAAGCTGTTCCGATACTTCGGCCTGCCAGAGGTGTTAGTGACAGACAACGGAACACAGTTTACCTCGACTTCCTTTCGCGAGTGGTGCAAGGAAAAGGGAATTCATCAGATGTTCTCACCACCATATCATCCTCAATCAAACGGACAGGCGGAAAGGTTTGTGGACACGTTCAAACGTGCACTCTGTAAAGCAGGGCAAAAAAGGGCTTCACAGGATGCAATTCAAGCTTTTCTA